TCTCACTTGTGTCATCACTATATAACAAGGAGTTTACGCACGAGAAGATCTGCATTTACTAATCTGCCTACAGTTCTGAGTGCTTGGGTTGGTAGTCTATTCTTTACATCACTTTCACCTTCACCATGCTCTCACACTCAATTCTGTCATCATCACTGTTCTTGCCTGCCTTCTGCGAGCTTCTGTTCTGTGTGCTTTACATATCAGTCCTCTTCTATAATTTTGTCTTTCAATCTTTCATGATTTATTTTTTTTATGTATTATTTTATTTATTTTATTATTTGTTTTGGGCTGTTCCTCCAAAGCATGCCATCTTCTGTTTGAAAATGGAAAAATCTGAGCAAATCATATCACGAGGGCTCAGTCGTTAAAAAGATAAGAATACAAAGCAGACACAGTAAAGGGTACTGTATGTATGTAGCTGGTTTCTCCGAAGATAAAATAAAATAAAAGACAGACGATCTTGCCGAGCTATAGAGCCTTTCATTACACACCCATTAACTTTATTATTAAACTTTACTTAAAAAAAAATAAAAAATAGAATAAGTAATCTAAAATACTTTTCTATAAATAACTGTCACGCTTGCTGAGAGGGAATGACATTAATGCATCAGTAGTGGAAGGCAAGCTAAAGTTTTGAGGGGTTTTCCAAAAATAAAAATCTGTGCTCAGGTTGGACTATAGTTTACAAGACGTGGTGATAAAATATTAGGGTATAAAAGCTATATGGGTAAGATTTTACTTCTTGTTCGTGGGACACGTTGTGACACGTCAGTGATAAAAACAACTTCAGCCAGCCTGTTAGCATTAGCAGCCTAGCCTTTCTTTAAACACACGTTAATGACTTTGAAAACACGCCAAGGAAAAGAGTTACCTTTCTGGGGGCCTCCGATTAAAATGACCGACTTCAACATCTTGACAGAAACGCTGCTTGGTGACATGCAAGACCTGGCTGGAAACTATCTGCAGCAGTAAGCAACAGCTGTGAGAGCATTTCCGCACTCACTTCCTGATTGTGACGTTAACGAGATTATCGTGAAATCACGGACCAGAGTGTTCGGAGTGAAACGGAGTCGAGCGCCTGAAAGCTTTGGACTACAAATGCTCTTTTTGAAATCACCAGAATATGCCTTTGTGTACGTGCGACAATATTTCAAGATTATGTTTAACTGCAACAATTATGATGTTATTAATTTATAGTATGCTAAATATTATAAATACTAAAAATATATCAATTATAATATCACTGCAAACTCTTATATAAATTATATCCAGGCTCAGTAAACCTTGTGTACCTTATGTGTCTCCTATACATCAAACTAAACATCTGAACTTTTTTTTTTCTTAAAACTCATTCTTTGTGCTTTAATATTGTTGCATTATGTTTGTTTGTATATTTATTTTATGTAGCATACTTCTTCTAGGTGCTTCCTTTAGAGGTCGTCACAGTGGATCTTCCCCCATCTCACTTTATCTCGAGCATTCAGTTTTATCACACCAAATCTCTGCATGTCCTTCAGTACATCCATGAACCTTTTCTATGGTCTCCCTTTTTTCCTCCTGCCTGGCAGCACAATTTAAAACACTCATTGTCCAATATATATCCCCTGTCCCTCCTCTACCCATGTCCAAACCACTTCAGTCTTGTGTCTCTTAACTTTGTCTCCAGACCACTCAGCCCAAGCTGTCTCTCTGATGTGTTCATGTCTAATGTATTTCATTGTGGTCACTCCCAGTGAAAACATTGCATCTGTAAGTGTTCCACCTTCAGTTCCACCTCTTGTCAAGCCAAACATGATAACATTTTTTAATTTTTTTATATATACACCTAAGTGCTTTCGATCTAACTTTCACATTCCAACTTGGTATTCAGTATCTTGCCCATGGATACTTTGGCATGCAGACTGGATCAGCCACCCTTCAAGCAGCCACCCTTTGATCAAGTCATTGAACTACCAACCTCCTGATTAGTAGATAACATGTTCTACGTCCTGAGCTAAACCCCATACCACATTATACAAAATGTAGTCTTGAAAGACTTTGCAACTGTGTTGTGAAAACATTCTAAATGACCTTTTTTTTAGTGAGAAAATAAGAGTATGAAGACCTGGGTCTGACATATCTTTGATTACTGTAGTAGACAGCCCAAGCATATCTAGACTAGACTAGACTACCACAATATTAACTGATTATACTTAATCCTAAACCTGTAATGTGCCACAGTTTGCCATTTCTCACTTGCACTGTATTATAGCGCTTATTTTAGTTCTAATAAATCCAGTTCTACCTTTGTAAAAAACAAACAAACAAAAACAAACAGGGTATAAAATCTGATTATTACAAAAAACAGGATTGTAATCCTACAGCTTGCTGTAATATATTCTTACTGTTCATCTATTCCTTTTTTAGAACATCTCTTGCATCCACACAAAGTAGGTTATTCCCTTATTTCAGCTCAGGGAAGTTCTAGCAGTGGGGAAAATATCTCAGCTGTCAGTTTTGAATGCTTGCAAAGACAACACTTACACAGCTCTAATAGAAGAGTTTACTTTCATACTTACTCATTAAAACATAACCTGAAGTAAAACAGTCTCCCATGTGGTAGTATTCATAACTCAAACATATGCAAATAAGGTGCGAGTCTGCATCAAACAAACAGAATAACATTTTAGTCAACAATCACCAAGGGACAAGGTGCTCTGGTACAGGCTTTTCTGGAGGAGCAACACAGAAATCTGAAGCGCTTTCAAACCCCCTCAAAACTTTAAAGATTTATTTCTTTTTCATTTTGGCCCTCTGCACTTAGACAGAAACTGTGTTATACTTCCTTTGTATAAAAAAAAGACACAAAGAAGGAAAACAAAATGTGCAAAAGAGGACTGTTTTCTCCACTGTATTGTCACACATTTTATGCTATCAAATGTTCTTATAAAATCCTAATCTAGTTAAATCCCTTATGAAATTTCACGTTTAAATTCCAGCAAGATTAGATCATAAAAACTGTACGTCAAAGTTTCTTTTTAGCTCAGCTGCTGTAACACGTCTGGTTTTGCAGACATTTTTTAAATAAGTCCGAATTAACATCAGTTTTAGGCTAATTTGTTTTTACAAACAACATGAGCATGCATTGCAAAGGTGCTTTGCAATCCTTGCAATGATTAATGTCTTAGGCCCGATTCACTATTTAAATATGAACTTCAGTGGCATGAAAATACTGAATCTATGGAGAAGAGCTGGCAGAACTGGAAAAAACTCACTTTATCGATGGGCACAGTCATGTGACTTTCCACTCACAGTCGTTGGCAGACTTTAAAATGCCAAAGACTGTGAGGAGTGAGCATGTGACCAGACTGTGGGTGTAGCTGCTAAAGTATTAACATGAAATATCTATGAATATGGGAGTAAAACAATGGGACGATTCCTGCCATGATCATGACCAATAAGGATCATTGCAGTCTAATGGGATACAAGTGGTATGCAACATATAAAGGCAAAGCAATACTTTCAAACTTTCACATCATTTGGCACTTCATGAAGTTCATGAACATGTTAAAGACTGATAAATATGATTTAAATTGATTACTGTTCAAGACATCAGAGGCAAACATATTATGAGACTTGAAGAAGTATGCATGAAGGTTATACTGTGAACATGGACAAGCGCCTATAAAAATGACAAAAAAGTGTCCTTGAGCACAATTTTGGTAAAGACCCATTAGATGATTATTGTGGGTAAGTTTGATTAAATTCTGATCAATACTATAGAAGTAGTAATTATTGTGACTTGTGGAAGGACAGTCCATTGGCAAGATGAGCTAATAGCAGAGCGATGACAGTTTGAATACGAGAGAGACGCGATAAAGTGGAAGCTTAATAAGTTTGGGTCTGTTTTCTGAACAGGAAGCAATCCAAAAAAGCAACAATTTAACAGAAGCTGAGAGTAGTCACATAATGAAAATCATCCGATACAGTTAAAACGAATGAACGAACGAACAAACAAACAAACAAGAAAAGAAAAGATAAATTTTGCATTCCAAAGGTTTTAATTGGTCAAATACACCAAAACAAAAAACAATATTTCTTTTGCCACAGTCACATTATAAATGCAGTCTTAATTCAATCGTCCCTTCAACATGAATTCAGTCATGTCTCACTACAGTTAAGTACCAGTTAGATCCTTCACATATTTTGTAGTTCACATTCAGGGAGTGAACAAATTTAAAATGATAACAAGAAGTTCACAAAAAATTATTTGCTCACAGGCACAAAAGAGATCTGTTCAAGAAAATATACATTTTTGTGTTTGGCCCACTTGTTTACGTTCTTCACATCAACTATAACATGAACTATAATGTACGAATTCTTAAGGAAAAACAAACCAAAAAAAATAAAAAAATAAAAAACTAACAGTACAAGTAGCTAGGGCTGTTCGATATAACGATATATATCAGATGACGATATAAAAACCTCTATCGTTTCATTTTACGCTATTGTTTGTTTCGTGGTGTTGCAAAATAAACCGTTTACAGCAATATTTTTTCATCGTTTTGATGGTCACTGTAGTGGCTATATTAATTTATTAAAGTTCTCTCTTTCTCTTATATTTAATATAACCACACTACGGATGGACAAGCGACTGTTTTTATGCGTTGTGGTTAGCAACAACTACGGTAACACCATCACGTGTCCGCTTGTTTATGTTCCACATAAACCTTTCACAATAAAGCTCAAAATCCTGTTGAGACTTTTCAAAATAAACTGAATCACGTGAAAGAGCAGATTATTTACGTATGAGAAGTAAAAAAGAGCCGCCAGGTGCTAAAAAATAAACCTTAGACTCAAACGTTAGAACAGGCTTTTCCCCGCAGCACGCCGTGTAATAAATATTCACAAAGAAAACGGCGGCCATTACAACTTATGTCTAAAAATGTGTAGTTTTATGCATCGGTTAAAACATTCGACTCCAGCTACATGACGCGCAGCTGGAAACACTTCACGCAAGACGAGCTGCCCGAGATTCACAGAATTTACAGAAAATGTTACATTTTTGTGATTTATATCATTATCGCACGATAGATGTCTTATATCGGGATATGAGATTTTGGTCATATGGCACAGCCCTACAAGTAGCCCAAACACAACCATTGCAAAGAATGAATGTTTGTGTTACTTTTTTAAGTCAAACTACAAAAAAAAAAAAAAAAAAAATCTGCATTAATAAACTGGCTTATTATAAAAAATAATAATAATGTACAGACTTTTTTTTGTCACATTGTGCTCACTTTCACACAAGGTACCAACAGCAAAGTGCCTTTGCGATTTATTAAATGAATCCTAGCATTAATTTGGTGAATATGTTGATATCACAATATCAAATATTCACAATCAAATACTCAAATCCCAAACTGTCAGTCTTTGGGGAAAAGATAATTACCCTTCAGCATCACTGCAAGTCTGAAACCGGGGTAACAAATACAGCGTGTGTACCAAAGATTGTCTCAGAAACCTTTTAAATACAATTTATTACTTGTTCTAAAAACTACTATTGAGTAAACAAATCAGTACCTAACATGTTAACGGTTCAGTGTAGTGCATTGTTATCACCGTGTGTTTCAAAAAAACCCTCAATAAGGAAAAAAATGTCTATGCTCTAGTAATGCAAAACAATAATATTTACATCCTATGTAAAAAGTAAAAACAAAATCAGCACTGCTCTTCTCATGAACAAAAAAATGACTGTAGTTTACAGCATTTGGAGAGGTAATAGAACTATTAATGAGTATTATATAATAACGAAGTTGTGGTTACCATCCTAGCTACAGGTCTACAGGTCAGAAACTACTTAATGCCCCTTAACACTGAGATAATAGATCAAACTGTTTCTACAGTACCTTTAGAGATCAATTTATTATTAGCTTTCACCTGCAAATAGCTGCTTTTGTACCAGTGCCTGGTGCAGCTGAGCTCTGCTGTTCCCTAAAGTTTAGGACGTCTTGGTAGTACTATCTCCTGTTGTAGAGGTCTTTGCGTTTTCGCAGTTCCTCCAGCACCCTTGCCCTAAACTGGGTCCAGTCTTCTTCCTGGAATTGCTGGACACCCAGAGCCAGGTGGAGCTCTGCAGAGTGGCTGCGCAGGAAAGGATTGTACTGCTTCTCTTCTCCAATCGTGGAGGGACACTGGAAATAAAGAGCACGTCAAAACGCAGCCCACCTCAAAGGCTCTTGATTGAACAGTGTCAATCATTTGCAGAAAGATTAAAAATAAATAAATCTATCATAGAAGATAAAATAAGTGATTTCTGTTACTCCCTTCCCCATCACAAAACGGACAATGCATTTCTGCAGATGGCATCACCGTGAGTATTAAGAAAACACAGCAGCTAATTTGTTACCAGGATACACTGACGTTAATTTGGCAATAAACCTAAACAAAACAGAGACATATAACAACAGGAAAAGCTCAACCTGGACTCCTAGACATCTGCTACCTCTTTCCAGCATCACAGCACAAAGGGATGCTTGAATAAAACTCAGTTAATTGTTAATAATGCTTGGTCTGTTCCTACTGTGACAAGCCGAAAACAATCTGTTAAGTCAGACTTTCTATCCCTTACCAATAACAGTTTAAAATCCACCAATGAGATCTGGAATTAGCAAATGCATCAACCTTAATTTGAAAATCCTAGATGCTTTTCAGGAAAGGTCACCTTTGACTTTGAGGTCAAGGTCTCCAGGATTTAAACCTGTCCAAGAGTTTTAGTAATTGCATGGCATGAAGTTGAGAATCCTAGGTGACTTCCTTCTTGAGTTAATGCGCTCACAAGATTTTTAGAAAACTCGACCTCTGACCTCTGACCTTGAGGTCGAGGTAAATGATATTCAAACTTGTTAGAGACTTTGAGTAGATGCAACTGTGGTATCAATTTTAAAATCCTACTTTACTTGTTGTTAAGTTCTCGCATTCGCAATCTTGGGTGTCCACGCCGCATGGCATTTAGTTTTTATTCAAAGGACCTGCTTAACCGAGTGAGTCACAGCAGTGCTACAGTTTCTGATACATTTGGTCAAATACAAATGCAGTGTTTCAGAAGTTTAAGTCATCACCTTCAGGCAGCTCTGCTACAAGGAAAACTTTACAGTTTTCATACATGTTTTTTTGGTGTACTATATATCTGATCTTTTTAATAAATAATACTCAAAGATCAAACTCAGGTGACTGATATAAATAAGCAAAAGACTACGTGTGAAACGTGAAAACATGCAGACTGCAGAGGAAATGTTATGGTCATTCAATAAGTTTTGGAGGTGGAAATCATCAACTGGAAGCTCCAATCTTGTGAAACTGCCTTTAGAGGCATGTATTGATAACAGATAAAAAACTAATCTAAATTCAGGATGGGCACTTCACTGAACAGCAAACCTTTGCTCTGCTGCAGACTATATCACAGATGGACTCGACTGAGCCTGGAAGAAGGGAAAGCGAGAGGGCGGCATGCACTCAAGAGTGCTGTCAGCACGAACGCTGTACGCAACTGATAAGCCCTTATTTCAGGTGTTGGACAACATGAATCCTGGGATGGCTCGCTTGAGAGGCATAACAATGGTGATACATCATTCTCACCGTGCACAGCTTCTGGCCTCGCTGCTGCAGCACCCACTGATATTTGTTTTCCCTGGCTGTGTTGTGCGGCTCAACCTCAGCAGCAAACAGCAGGTTGTCCTCTGCATACTCATGACCTGCGGGACAGCCAGTGGACACACAAGAAAAATATCACAGCCACATGTATAACCATACTTAAAAGCCTAAAAAAACCAAAGAATTCCCTATGCAACCCGTTCTTATGGTTTGGCTGTATATATATAAAACACTTTTTTAAAAGCAAAGACATATTAAAACCACAACTTCATCCGCAGCACACAAACATAATTTTTTGACACTGAATCAGACAACTGAAAGGATTCTCCTACCAGGCCATAATAGAGTATCATCAGTCAAGGAGCCAACTGTGTCCAGAGATGACAGCATTGTTGTTGCACTGCCTTCAAACATTCTCCCTAGAAACAATAAAGACAGGTTAACAAAGAGATTCCAATTTCCAAACAGGGTTCCTGAAGCATTCATATGGTCTAATCTTTAGTATTACCAGGATATTTTCATTACTGCTATAGTTAGATTGTCAAATTGGTTAATTGGAAGATAAAAATGTCCAATTTCTCAAAGGTCATGCGGATGACCACTAGCTATTAAGACACAAACTACTGTACAAACTCTGTATAATACTTTCAGCTTCTCTCTTACTTCTCAAAGGGGTTATCACATCAGATGGATCCACACATAGATTTTACCCAAGGCTGGGTTTGTGTCTCCTGCTGATCTCAATATTTTGTGCATAATGAAAATGTATTAACCACTAAATTGCTATACAAAATCTATTGTATATTAAAGAACATGTTAAAAAAAGCCATTGGCATTACAAGGTAACCAAAACAGGCCACTAAATATACAATACTATAATTAAGTATATATTTTAAATACTTTTTGACGCAACTGATTAAATTATTTCAAGTCTTATAAAAAAAACTATGTTACATTAAGTTATGCAAAGGAAATCTAATCAGCATTTCCGATGAAATATGAAAAGGTGTAATTTGCATGCAACAGTATTCAGTTAAGATGGTGCTGACTTGCATTAGCAATGTTAAACTTGCTTTTGAATGAGGTAATCTGGATGTGAACCAAAAATGACAGATGTGAATGCAGAAAAGGCATCAGGTCAAAGATCCTTTTTAAAATTGCACTGATTGAAACACTGATGACAGATAGGTTTCTCGTATATATCACATAGTACAATTAAGTCAAAATCACGCTTCCTTGGTATCACACTTATGCATTTTAGCTGACTTTTAGACTGTGCGATCATCAGGTTCTCAGACTTCAGCAGTTTTACAGTATAGAAAAAAAAAGCCCACAAAAACTCTAAAAACGCCACACCAGTTTTTTTTTTTAAGTTGCTTTTACTCAAGCATAACATACATTTTGATCAAATTGCCAGGAATAAGAGGGCAATGCGTAGACTTCTGTTAAGGTAACACAACTATAACTACGTGCAGACAAATTGTGCTTGCATGCATAGTCACTCCCTGTAGAGAACAATTTTGAGCCAGTAAAACCCAGAGAACCTGTGTAGAATGATTCCACATCAAACAAACTATTTCATCCTGCATTTTCAGTAACTCTGAAAAAAACAAAAAGAAGCAAACAGCTAGAATAATTCCTCTTGATCTGGTTTTCTGCATAACTTACCACATCCTGAGAGAAACACCAGGTCACCAGAGAAGAGGCTGGAGGGGGCACCGACCGTTTGACCATCCAAGAGGTAGATCATGTGGCCTACCGTGTGTCCAGGGGTAAAGAGGGCCTTAAAGCGCATACGCCCAACTGTTACCGAGTCATTGTGTGAGAGAGGGCTGGAAAGAAAAATAAGTAATGAAAAAACCTAAACCAAGAAGTGTGGAGTTACTGATTTTTAGTGAAAATTAAAAGATTAAAAATAACTGAAATAGACTTCCTTTTCTGACATGTACCAGTTGAGCAAAGGTATCAAAAACGACTACCTTCCCATATTATTTTTACATTATTAGAAAAAAAAAATGTGAAAAACAAAATCTTTAGTGTGGTAGTTTGGAAGTCCTAAAATAACCCTCCATCCCCTAAGACATAACAGAATAGTCACTCATGCCACGATAATTTAGTGTGAAGTCAGCTGCCACCACTACTGACAGTGGGAACAAAACAGGACTAAGTACAGTAAGAATGATTCAAAGTGAGCCAGTGTGCTATACTGTGCAAGCTGGGACTTACTGCGTGAGGCCAGGAATGTTATCAGCCGCATTTCCATAAACTCGGCATGAGCTGTGCAGCCGTTTCAACCCTTTGTTTCCCCCACTGTGGTCCCTGTACATGGATCACAAAGAAGGTTCACGCAGCAATTTAGACAATATCCACACATTACAGATACAAAGCACCTATTTTTTTTTAAAAACACTGTGCTTATTTTAATCAAACTGAACGCAGGACTTTCAAAATGTGGGGAAAACATCTATACATACAAATGCATGGCATTCTTTTAAGCTGCAGTACGGCAATAATAAGTCTAACCTCTTGTGTTAGAGATGTGAATCACATTTTTATTTTACTATACCTATTATTATATGATTTTTTAACCTTTTGTGACATGCTGAGTCTTGTATGATTATCACATTAACATATATTTCGATTTTTTTGCCTTCAACTGTAAATTATGTCCTCGAAGTTAAACATTTTCAATATCTGTCTTATCCAATAAGATAAAGTTACCTCAGGAATTTTTTTTAGCTACAAAAGGAGATGGTAAAGTACACCAAAACTGTCACTAAGACCTACTATAAATGTTACCAGTGTCATATTGAATGGGGTCAAGTTGGCAATGACATCCAATCTGTTCCTAATATTGCAGCAATTTACTGTTATAAATATTCAATAGCCACATTAAACTATTATATTTGCACTGATCAACCTTCCTGTTTTATAGGAATATAACCAGAATACAATGAGCTGGCAGCCCATGAAGTCCCTTCAAGTTGTAATCATTAATAAAGACTCGTTCAGACTGATGGCAAGATGTTGGCAATCTCTCTGCATTTATACATTTACAATCTGTCTCATAGTAATTCCAGTCAGTCCAAGCCAGACTGCATCTGTTTGCAGAAAGGTTGCCTCTTATCAGGTGAGATACTGTAAGCCCTCTTGTTCACAGTATTTCCAAAATAAAATATCGATAATTGGTGTCCCTGTATCAATATAACATTGCTATGCTAAATATCACAATACTATGCTGTCTTTCCCCCCTACTCCTTTTTTATACATACAAATTACATGAAACTCACCAGTGCTTGTGTGTACATAGTATTGCTTCTAACATTACTCCTTCTGCCTCGAGGACTGCCTGAAATGAATAAAAGAAAATACAAATAAATCGGGTGTTGGTAAAACCTTCAGTCAACACTTCAGATTCATGACACATCACAGCGTTATTATACTTGTGTATTTAATAAGGCAAGATACCATGGATACAAAACACACTCATTCACAACAGCTGGCTACGGACAGTCAACAGCTGCAGCTGAAGTAAAACACATGGTTGTAAGGAAAAATGACAGTGCAGAGATACCAGCTGTAAGAGAGAGAAGCTCCAATGTCAATGAGCCCTACAATTACAATCAAGCTTTCAATACAACTCAATGTTTTTGTTTACACACCTCATACTTTTATAAATACAGCAATAATTCTATACAGGCTTTCATATATTGTTTGTAACTCACACTATTTATACATTTTAACCCCATCTATGTCCTGTATGTGTTACTAAACTGGCTTTGAACTGAATGACAATCATCACACTTAAATAGTATTATTCCAACTCCCCTAAAAATATTTCGTTTTCTTAAAGATCTTAATACTAGATATTATACATTTCATATAATAGCTTTAAGGATCAGAGTTGTGGTACATATACAAAATAATGCTGAACTAGAAGCAAAGCAATCATGTCTCACTAATATCAGGCGATATCTGTCCTGACTTCTCTGCAGCATCATGTTCTGAAGAAAAAACAACTTTTCCCTTGGAACTAACTACACAGTTACTGATTGCTGTTTTCAGCGCAATAGCCTAAATCTATTAACCCATTCAAAGACACATAAGTGACATCAGAGGCACTCGCCTGAACTATCTGAGGGTCTGCAGGGTCTACAACAACTGCGATGCTCGAGGCTCTGTCGATGATAAGGTAGCTGTAGTTGTCAGAGAGCACAGAGATAGGAATTATTTTAACACCTGTGGGCAGAGAAAGAAATGACATAATAATTATTCGGGACAACATTAAACATGCACTAATAAAAATATCCATCTTTAATGAAACAAATGCTAGAATTTTGTACTGATAGTAATAACAATTGGTTCTATGGTATGTACAGCGTGTGACAGCAAGGCATTGTTTGGCCCAGTGTCACCCAGTTAAACCAGTAATTGTTGCATATACCATTGAACTCCACGGGATCTGTAGCTGAATGCCCTCCAGGGTAATTTTCACGAGCTTTCCGCATTTGCCGTTTGTAGTACATGTAGCCAAGTCTGGTCTTAGTGTAGAGTGTGTACCTGGGAGACAATTGGAAATGTTATGTCCCAATAGTAAAAGCTGTTAACATTATTAACCTCGCCATGCAGTTACTGTCATTTCTTTGGTTTGCTGAATGAGCACAACTGACGTAACTTAAATGGTTGGTATGCAAACGTCTCTTAAAATAAAGTTGAAGCCACTGCAGCATATGCTGATGAAAAAAATGCCATTATCGCGAGAAGAGCCTCACAGCAGAATACCAACAGCTGTACTTTTCAAATGGTCTTGTCTAAATTAAATTACGTGGGATAAATCTATAGCACATAAAAATGGCTAGATGTTGCTAAGCTACGCCAAGAGAATCGCCAAGGAAACGACAGAAATCTCTGTCGCCAAGGAAAGTGGCGCCATACTCACGCTATTCGGAACAAGGGCTTCTCCGTTCGGGCCATTATCTTGCTGAACAGTTTTCTCCAAAACACCTGTCCTGTCCGTCTGTAGCGAAGGCACAAACAAAAACAGATGAAGGATGAAGTGGCTACCAGTGTTATTATCCAGTCAGGAAGCGCCATAGCCTCTGAGCGGAACGTAATGACGTATACAGCGACACGTCACAACAGTCCCCTGGTGACTTTTAGGCTCACTACCGGTGTTGTGCTCACCTGATTTCTCATGTTTACGTTTTCTTTTATGTATTAAAACAGAGTATATTATAATTTTTTCTGTATATTTTCATTATACATTTTTCACATCACATTTTGCTTAGGTTTAGGCAGCAGAACCACTTGGGAAGTAGTAGTAGTAAATTAAATGAAATTTTAAAAAAGGGTTTTGACAGCCTGTCAGGCAAATTTTAACATGCATATGAATTAGCAAAAATACTGTGTGATTTTGCCTGTTTTATATCCAAATCCACTTTGCTTCAAGAAACACATAAAATGGGAATTTCTGTTTTTAGAATCACATTTCTTTCTGGTGTAAATGTTGAATAATTATCTGTCTGTTGTTATAACCGTATTGTAGGTTAATTGTAATGATTTTTGTAGTACAAGAAAAAATACATTGACATATAATTATGACTTACAATTACCCTTAGACAAAATGCCAAAGCTGACTAGGTATCAAGGAAGCACTGGCATTTAACTAATTGTAGAGGGAGGTACAACCAGTAGTTTGTGTTTTGGTAATATTGGTACTTTTTAACAGGAGGCGACATGAGTAACCAGTCTCATCTTTCTGAGAGTAGCAGTAACAGTGTGAGTTTCAGCCAGCATATCCAGTTACAAAGGATGACATCCTCCTGTTGTGCACGGCTGCAAATCTCCAAGGCAGGACTGAAGGACAGTGAACCCAACTCAGGCGCAAGCCACAAGGTAAGTAACCTTTTCTGCTTTGTTTTCATTTGTTTTCTGGGTGACCAGATCATAACAAACCAAAAGTGGGTCAAAGAGATTACTTGAGTGCAGTGTTGTAGTGTTTTAAAATTTGTATATAAAAATAAAATAAAAAATGGGTTTTAAAAATAACACAGGCTTAATTTCCTGTTCACAATCGGCAGTATGCTTGCTTTTTTCTCTTTTCCTATCTTAAAAATTCTTAAGTACAGTACTAATTTTCACAAGTAATCTGACTAGACTACATACAAAAAGAAAAATGTATGCAGTCTGGCCTTTTCAGACCGGTGAGGTGCTGCAGAGGGATTCGACTGCTCTTACAGGTGCTTTAATAGAATAAATGAAACTGAAGGTGAGCTCAGGATTGCATATTGAAAGAAGAAAAATCATAACTTTAGATGGGGGAATTTTCCTTGGCCTCCAAGTGTCCACATATACTTCATTCTTAAATTAAACAGAATTACAGCCATTGGTTTCTACTCTCATACTTTGCGTGACCCTTCTTATATTTTATCAAGCAATAAATGTGAACACATGGCATGACTGTGCCTTCCAGACACAATAATGTTTAAGTTGTTTCAATGTGTCTTGTGAAACTATATGTTGAATTACAACCAAGAGCTGAGTGAAACTATAATTCAAGCTGGGACATTATCTCATCTTTGTTATTGCAACAGCACCAGACTGCTAGACCTTTTTTCAGCCCTTCAAAATATTGCAGTTTCATTACATGTGGCCCAATTATCCCGAACAAACGTGCGCACTTTAATTTAAAATATTTATAGTAGTCAAATTAATTTTTAATTAGCAAGTGACTCACACTTAAAGTACAAGTGTAAGGAGACCAAGGGTGTCTGCGGTGTTACAGTACATACAGATATACAGCATGATAACAAAATTACATTTTTAATGTTAAATTTCAATGTAATTTATTATTGTGAGTTCCAAGTTTTCAAAAATATGACATGGCTGTCGCTGTAGCAGGGAAAATCTTCCACACATACCCCACATACACATGTACAAAGCCAGAAATATGGAATAATACCTTTATCTAATACAGTTTTTAAACCAAAGAGGGAAAAACAGTGAGGTTTATGCACAGTGAGAGGCTTTTGTACTCAAGAACTGTGCAAAAGTATCAAAATAACACATATGCACACGTTCCTGCTCCTGACTGCCACTTATTTTTCAGCATTTACCTGCCTTCTCTTTTTTATTCCCTCCCTCTTTTCTCCATCGTTCCTTTTCATCTGTTCAGCGTGTCTAACGTTACCTGGTTCGTGTCGCCTGCCTTGCTGAAAGAGACAGACAGGGTGACATGTGCACAGTTTTGCATGTCTTTGATGTGGTAGATTTGCGTGGTTCCTGCGTGGTGCTTGAACCAGCTGAAAGTTCACAGCAAGCCAAAACGTCCCCGAGGCCACCAGGACGTCCTGTAGAGACAGCCTTCCTTATTTTCTTTACAGCCACTGGAAACAAGCCAGACTTTAGAATTCTGTTATTCGGTGCTGATTTCTGAGAATCACATGTGAAACACAGACAAACAGATAATGTTGTGCACAAGGAGGGACTTGTGATCACCCTTTCTGAAACTAGGGTGACCACATACTTTCCAGGAAATAATAGCACAGAATTAAGCAACGCAACATACTGTGATTTACGATGTAATATAGTAGGAAGATTTTATTTTGTAATTGTGAAAATGAAAAGTCAGCAATAACTAGTGGATAGTGAAAAGATGTAAGTCTGACATAGCTTTGTACCACTCATCCTGTCTTTAGGGTAGTCCAGAAAAATGATGACATCTAAAATTGACAGTCCTCCCCCCTACGAGGAAGCACTGCATCATCCTAAGTGTGATAACTTCCCCTACCAGCCACAGCATGGCTCTCCTCTTCCCCCACCTCCATCTTACAGTCCCAGTCCTGGCTACTGGGGCCAAGGGGGTGTCTACCCGCCGATCAGCATGTGTCAAGGCCCTGGCCTTCCTCCATCTGGGATGCCCACCACAATACCGACTCTGTCTGCTGGACTGCCTGCCTCCAACCCAGGTTCTTAGCGAGTGGCACAGTCTTGAAGTAATCACACCCTGCAATATATTTAGATTAGGTGTAACAAGGATAAATTACCACTTGGCTCTTCCAAATTCTGCAGGAGAGATGGAGGATTTTCTCAGCACCCAGTGGGAAAGCACATCTGTTCGGCATGCCTTCATCAGAAAAGTAAGGGTTTGTGACTGTGTGTCTTAACTTGCTCTTTGTGCCAGTGACAATCCTGCTGCTCTGATCTTTCTTTTTTTCTTTTTCTTTTGGACAGGTTTACTTAATTTTATCAGCACAGCTTGCTGTCACCTTCTCAGTTGTTGCTGTCTTTACGTTTGTGTAAGTTTCCCCATTTGTACATCCATCTAGCCACTGGTGAATGTATCTGGTGAATGGTAAGAAACACAGTCTGCCCTTTGGTGATGCCATGTATCTGCTTTCACAGTGACCCAGTGAGGATTTTTGTCATCAGTTACCCTGGCATCTACTGGGCATCTTTGTGAGTTACTTTTAAGAAACAGCCGCACAGTTTTAGTGCAATTACATAAATTGATAAAAAAAAAAACACACATGTGAAGAATAAGATGTATGTAATAATAATCACAGTGGTGAATCTCTCTGTAGTGTGGTTTACTTTGTGGTTTACTGCATTCTCATCTGCTGCAAAGAGCCAAGGTAAGCAAGGCCAAATAAGTTGGAAAAATTAAGTTGTTTTATTATTGCTATTATTATGGCTTATTAAAATTTTCATAAACAGTGATGTTTGTGGTTTCTGTACTTTTTAGGAGGCGTTTTCCGTGGAATCTTGTGCTGCTTGGAGTATTTGTAAGTGTTGTTTATTAGACTAAGGGTCAGACATTGACACTAGTAATGCCACAGCAGATAAATATGTGCAGAACTAACATAGTGTGAGGTGCTGAAGACTGAAAAAGTAAAGTCAGTAGAAAAAAGACATCTCTAAAAAGTGCTAAAACTCACTCTGACATTTAAGACGCATTGTATTCATGTTTGATCTTGCAGACTCTTGCCTTGTCTTACATGGCCGGAGCAGTTTCAAGGTTTGTTTATTGGCTTTATTCAGACAACAGCTCAAAACAGCACATTTTGATCCTGATGGTATATATGTGCCTTTTTTTTGTTTCGTTTTAATCGCTACATGTATCCTTTACAGCTATTATGGAACCAAAGCAGTGTTTATTGCCATGGGAGTAACAGCATTAGTCTGTATAGCTGTGACAGTCTTCTGCTTCCAAACTAAGGTACACGGAGATGTAAACTGTCTCGTTGTAGCTCAGTAGCCTGTGGCTTGTCAGAGGATGTCTTTGTTGTCGGTGTAAAAGAACTCCTTTGTCTTGCATTACAATGGGGGCACTGAAATCCTTTAAATATTTATAACATTTTGGGATAAGATGCGAATCCAACTTCTCTGTCTGATGCAACTCGAGATACACAAGTTACATTTTTGGCTTCTACAAGACACGTTTCACACACGCACACACATATATTTCTCTTTCACCTTATTCTGATCCTCTTTCACAATAGTCTCACTGCTCTTTCATGTAGCTTGAAGCATATCAGCTTCACTTTCATCCCCTTAATGACTTGTTTCTCATCACAGGTGGACTTCACCTCCTGCGGGGGATTCCTCTGCATTGCGGCCGTTCTGCTCATGATCATTGGGATTGTTACAGCCATCGTCCTCTCCTTCCAATATGTGAGCCTGCTCTGGTCAAGTCATTTAATTTATTCTGTCTACTCGTGTTTCTCTGCGTGAGGAACAGCAGCTCCCAAGGGTGTATCTGTGTGACTGATTTCACATTCAGGAGCCTTTCTTATGTCACTCAACAGGTCCCCTGGCTGCATATGCTCTACGCTGCAATTGGAGCCATCGTTTACACTCTGGTGAGTCCACACTCACACACAATTAGACTGAGTATTTCTTCTTGGTATTATGAGTCTGTTGTTGAAAAGCAAGCGAGACATTAGCAGTCCTTACACCCCCAATACATAGCTATTTAGGAGCCCTAAATAATGTGGTGATAATCTACTATTCATTTGTCTTGATTTTGATTGGTCTATCAAATAAAAAAACAAGAAGGGAACACTCAATCTTCAGTTTAACACAAAGTCTGTTAACTTCAGAGATATCAGGATGTCCAGATAGAAAGCATAAACTATTGTGAATCCAATAAAAAAGTGATAACAGTTGCACTGGAAAGGCAACAAACAAGACAACCTCCAGAAAGGGAAGGTTTTTTGATGGATTTTTCTCTAGTTTTGCTTTTTGCTGGGTCCTTTTTGCTACTTGGTAGCATGAGACAGCACCTGCAGCCTCCACAGGTTGCTCAGCTCCATCAGTAAGGCACAGGTTTGCCATGTCAACAGGCCCGTTACACAAGTAACACTGTCAGAGCCCTAAAAAGTGACCTCAATCAGGTTATTTGTGCATGTTTACAACCAAAATGTCATCAAGAGACTCCTTGAGCATGACATGAAGGCTCAGTGTTCCTAGGTGGGTTCTGTGGTCAGAAACCAGCATTCTGTAACTCAGCTGGCAGGTTCACCACTAACAGTGTTCTTTTCACGGATGATGTTGCAAGAAGCTAACATTTATTACGGTGTCTCCTCTCCCTTTCACCTCTGTCACATGCTTTCTTTAGTAAAGGAGGTAAAATCACAGTTTTCCCTAATCGAACAGACGGATATTCCTGAAGTTCCAACTATGATGTTCAAGTGTTCCTTTAATTTTTTGCGCAGTGTATAAAGTGAATTGGGCTTTTTTTTGGGACATTTTATCATTTCCTGTTACAAACATGATTTCCACATTCATTGTCCCAATAGGTCTTTTAAACAGGTAATCTCACTGTATACATGTTATAGCACTTTTTAATGTGGTTTTCCCATAATGCTGGGGATTGTCCGACCTTTGCTTTTGTACCATTATATTCAAAATATAATTTACCCAAACTTTTTACCTTAGCTTACCATTCCTGTCAGTCTCAGCTATAGTTGAAATTTTGTGTTAATGAGTAAATATTAACACAGCAACACACGAAAAGGGTTAAACTAAACGCACCACCACATGGTAAGGACAGAATCACAAAGCTATTAGTACAGTTGTAGCCTCACATGATACAGGATGTAAATTTTCTTGTTGGTCATAGTGAGTGACACGTAACAGTCCAAAAACCAAAAGTTTTATTAAATGGTCGCAAACATGACAAAAGGCTAGAAATGTTGCAGCATTTTTCCTTGTATTCATGTTTTTATGTCAATTTCCTCTTTCCTTTTCTTCCTTATATTAGTTTTTAGTGTACAACACCCAACTTCTTATCGGAAATCGGGAGTTGGCCATCAGCCCAGAGGAGTACGTCTATGGAGCGCTTTCTCTTTATGTTGATATTGTTCACATCTTCCTCTTCATCCTTCAAGTCAGCGGAGCTGCGACTGAATGAGCCAGCGGTTGGAGTTTGTATATTGTATTTGCTGGCAGACACACAGCAAACTGTCAGAAAGATTATTACTTTATTATTATTATTATTTTTTTCTACATCAGTAACACTCGAGCACTTTGTTTGTTGGGCTGTATGTAGCAGGACTGCAGCCGCAAAGCTTACACTTAGCCCGTGTAAAGGAAGAGAGCTGCTTAAGCTTCGCACATTTGTATAGCTGCATTTTAATATTTATGTGCACGTTAAGGAGTCTAGTACTCTCAACTATTACTTCGATCAAACCTCCTCATTAACAAAGTGTTTCTGCCTCCAAAAAAGGGAACAAAGCCATTTATAGATCAACACATTTGTTTTTATTATTGTCAGTGCTTAGACTTACAAAACATGTGTAGTTGGAGGCATACTGCTGGACACCACAATCATTAGTCAAACATCTGTGCTGGTAGTAAGACGGTCTAAGATCTGTTTGTTATGTACTTTTCATTTTTCCAAAGAGAAAACCCAGAGAACACTGACTCACCGATTAAAAAAAAAAGAAAAAAAGAGTTGTCTTCTTGAATCACTGGCCATTTCCTTTGTTCTCTTTAATGTTTCTGTTATTTGTTGTTGTTAGAAAACGATGCACACCGATCAATAAATCATACCTTACTGTTATAACTGCTTTCTTCATGTCGGTGGTTAATTACAGTAACACGTTAAGAGTTCTAGGGTGGCATTAGCTCCTATAAATGTTCTCCCTTCCTTGATTGTGGATTAGTATTGTTTCCCGTCACCAGTATTTATGTGTCGTCCACACCGGAAGGTTTAAGGTGTCAGGCGCTTGGGGTCACGTGGGAACATGGAGGTCTGCCGAACGTTGTGGAGACCCAGGTAGAGCATGCAGACTCTCTCCAGGCCTGTGAAGGATGGCATCTTTATCAGTTTTTTATTCTTACAAAAAAACAAAAACCATTCCTGTAGTTCCCCCGACAAAACATATTTCTTACCAATGCCTCCGCCGCCATGTGGGGGAGCTCCATACCGGAAGGAGTCGATGTATGCCTTGATCTTCTCCAGATCTGTACAAACAAAGGAGAGGCACAACATTTTCTAGTGTTGTTCCACTGGTTGCCAACAGAGGGAGACAAATCATTAGAATTTCACTCAATGCTCCTCAAAAAGAAATGGAAACATCTGTTTTTCTTACCGATTTGATGGTGGATGGCTCTTTCTGTCAGCAGCTGAGCATCGTGGACTCTCTGAGCTCCGGAGAGAATCTCTTCTCCTCTCATGAACATGTCATAAGAATTGGAGTATTTCTAGACAAAAATAAAACAAATTCAGAAATCAGGTTTTTCTCACATGTGATGATGACAGGAGGGGGTTAAAAAAAAAGAAAAGAAAATTAAAGTCAACCAGACAAGGTAACGCTGGCACAAAACTTGGGTAACAACAATGATTATGACAGGAAGAGAATGAAATGAAACCGTATTCATTTTTTAAAGCCAAATATTAACAGAAATATCAGTCTGGCAATTGAAATTCACACAGGTAGCATAAAGAATGTAGTAAATTGGCAATTTTGTGGCATCGCTCATGGATGCTGATGTTTTTTCTTGACTTGTCGGGACAATATCAAGAAAAAAAAAAGCATTACGTTGCCCACAGGAGCTACAGTGCAAATTTAAGAGGCTGGTGTGTTTGGTATGTTTGATGTGTGAGTGAAAGACTTACAGGGTTACTTGGATCAGGCATTGTGTAAAACGGTCTAACAGCCAGCGGGTACTTATCAAGCACATAGAAGTCAGTATCATACTGTGGAGAGGGGGGGGGGAAAAAAGAGGAGTGAGAGTCAATAACTGCATAAAAAAGGATTAATAGAGACACACACCTATCCTTTTCTTTATTTATTTGATGCAACTGTGAGCTTGAATAATAAAATACTTCTCCAGGATACTGTAGAGTCTTTATCTTACAGCATAAAGCAGCTTTTACTGAAGGAGGTCGTCTGAAGAAGACTAACAGCTCATATATACAAATTCTGGAGTTCTAATATCCAAAATGGCTTTTTACTACTTTTAAAAATCACTCGTGTTTTTATCTGACCTTCATACATAAAGGCTACGTGATCCATTGTTGGATCATGTCACATTCATAATTTTGACATTCAATGAGTGAATCACATTTGAAAACAAACCTTTTCCTTGACGAGGCGGCCAAGCAGCTTCTCATTGGGTGTACTACAAAACAGCAAAAATACATTGAGTTTAATAAAGACAGACACATCTCACATTGTTAAAATATTACTTAAACTGATTGTAATCAGTGAATCATCTACAGTTATTATTTCTCAGACTGTTTTTTTAACGTCACTGCTCGTACTGTACTGCAGATTACAGCTTTGATCACAAGGATTACTTAAATGCTGAGTTACTGATGTGATCTTTCACATCCTCACTTTAAGCACATGTTACAATTTACTTCTGCTTTTATCAAAAGAAATCATCTGACAAGATGAGTTGGCTGTGGGGAAAGGCTGTGTGATGTATTCTAACCTGAGGTCATCCTCGTCACCCATTTCGACCCCGGCCTCACGCAGCATGGCCACAGCCTCGGTGTACTCCAGTCTAAGAGTCGGCTCCAGGAATTTGAAAGGCTCACTTGGGAACTGCTTATTCACCGTCTGGATCTCTGTCTGGAAGCTGACGCAGAGGCACATGCATTGAATTTCCAGAGTGTTGAGAGGACATAATGCTGACTTTAATTCATTTTCCTGGGAAATTTCCCCAAACCACTAATTTTTTTTAACCCAAACATAAAACTTCACATACATCAATAGTTTTCCAATCATGATTGGAGTATGTAATGGTGATTCATATCCATGTAAAAATACTTGTTACACGTGTTACTGTGGAAAAAGGGTTCTGTCGCCCCTGATTTCTTCATATCTTGCTTCCAAAGAGGCATACTGTCTTAAAAAGCTTTAAAGTGGTATTAGGTAATAGTTCTCCGGTTTTCTGAACCACTTTCAAAGTTTTTCTGTGGACATTGATGGTTTGTTCTCTCATTTTATGTCCAGTGGTTGTACCTGGACTTAAAATGACTGACCCGTGAATAAAACACTGACCCATAAATAATTAATGCACAAAAAGCCTCCCAACTCAAAGGGCAAACCAGTGTTGTGTCTAAACATAACAGACAACTTAGCAAAGAACCAATCTAAATTGTATCTTTGTGCACTTTGTTAGCCTGATGCA